ATTCTTGAAGAAATTGTCGTGTTCTTGAGCGTTTACGAGTTCACTCATATCTACTCTTTGTGAGAGTTTTATTCCTGAGTGATTAAGTGTTTTCATGCACTTTAAGGGAGTTTGTTCCCTTGTTGTAAACTCGAAGGAAGTTTCTTGTTCCTTCGTGAGAAGTCTTGGAGTGCGGTATCTCCGAGCGAAGGTGTTGAGGCTCATGTGACTCGGGTTCTCAAGTTGTATCGGTTTGTTAAGCACCCTTAAGCTTAACGGAGTTAGTGTAGCTCGAGAGAGTCTCTCGAGGGGCTGGATTAGCCACACGTTGTGGTGAACCAGGATAAAATCCGGTGTGCTCCTTCTTTACGCTCTTTACTTTAACGCTCTCGTTTTAATTTCCTACGATTTTGTTTTAAACGCTATTCACCCCCCCTCTAGCGTTGGGCCTTTATTCTAACACAGTAGTGATCCGTTTTGAAGTTTAATATGACGGTCGACCGTTTGCGTTGACCGTTTGGGTCTGCGAATCTTTCTCTTGATATTTTGAGTGTCCAAAATACTTCTTTAAGTCTTTTAAACACCTTTGATTAACCTATACATAGTGTTGGGTTGATTTCCAAAGTTTATATTTACTTATGTGTATATTAACTTTACGGATTTTGTGTATTTTGATCTCAACATGTAGATGACTTATATATGTATCACATATATATTTTGGGATGATTTCAACATAGGGATTAATATATATATATGTGTGTGTGTGTGTGTGTATTCATGTACGAATGTGATGAATGATTCGACAAGTCTAACGCAAGGGTACAGACCTAGAAATCATCGGTCCAAACCTTATGGATGAGCGGGAGTGGAAACAACATCGAAATTCACCAACTTTGTCATTCTCGTCAGAATTGGACAGTGTGCCATATTTTGGGCATATCTCCATCGTTTCTTCTCAGAATCGCAAACCGTTTGATTTTGTGGATTCCTAAGATGTAAGGCTATAACTTTCGTATAGAACGTATTTCGAGTTAACAGATGTAAGATAGCATAAATCGGACCTGAAGTCAATGTAAAGTTGCTGTCCAGAATTTTTGAATACTCCGGTGAACAACGGTTCCGACGATTAACTCATTAACTTCAATATTCCAACACCGAACCTTCTCTATAATACCTTCCGGATGTTCCTAACAATTGTTAGAGAGTTTATGGTGAGTGTTTGGAATGAAACAACATGGATATGGTGAGGAAACATAGCCAACCCGAGGAGCTCGCCACCACTGGCGCAGTCCTGGTATTTTGGCCTTATTGTCTTCGTTACTTAACGAAATCGCGAGACATTTGTTGGGCTGGATTCGTATCATTCGGGGCTACAACTTTGGTTCATAAAGTATTTTTTGGTTTCAAGATTTGGGAAACTACGTATGGTTTCCTTCTTGTTCCTCCTTCTTCCTTGGCACACAAATATAGAGTAGCTGTTTTTTTTCTTTTCCTTGAGCTACCGACAGAGAGAGAGAGAGAGAGGTGAAGAAATGGTGAATGATGATGTGTGATGGTGGGGATATGGTGATGATGATGATTAATATAAAGTAGGAGATATGGGTTGGTGGAGGAAAATGGGGTGACTAAGGGTTGAAATGGAAGATTGCTGCGTGATTTGGGAGAGATTTTAGAATATTAGTTTTGGACTTTTGTCCAAACTGAACAGTTTACCCCAAATGATATGCGCTTTTTCGCCCAAACTGCTCCGAATTGAAAACGGATTGCGTGTTTGGAATGAGACTGTCAAAACTAGAATTTTGACGTAATCAAAATATTTTTCTGAGAACTTTTTTTTTTTATTTTTCTGGGTCTATCTCTGTCATAAATTAATTTTATAATATGAATGAGATAAAAATATATGAGTTATATCCCAATGATTAATATGTTGTTATCAAGTGTTAAAGATTAAGATTTCTAATCTTAGGAAATCACTTTTGAATTGAGTTTAATTTATGGGTCAAAGTTACAAATTTTAATATTTAAAATTGTCATAGCTTGAAATATATAAATCAGATTGATTCATAAAATGTATCGTTGGATTCGTCTATTCGAGACACATCCATAAAAATAACTTTTTAACAAAAAGTCATTATTTTGAAAATCCATTTATTTTTGGTCAAACGTATAAATATTCCTTATTGGACAAAAATAATATTCAAAACTACTTTTGTTTGATAATAAAATTTAGGCCATATTTCGTGGCATTACAAGATCCATGAGGGGATATGTTCGGCGCATCAAGGAGCTTTCACGATGTCAAGGAAGATAACATTGCAGGGATACTTTTGGCCAACAATCATAAGAGATTGCACGGAGTATGTACGCAGGTGCAAAGTGTGCCAGGAATTTCAAAAGATTTTAGGATGACCGGCAACAAACTATACCCCGATCCTCACAGCAATACCGTTCGCTCGGTGGGGGATTGATATGGTCGGATCTTGCCCAGAGGAGCTGTGAGTAACATGTACTTGGTGGTCGCGATCGACTACTTTACAAAATGGGTCGAGGCCGCTCCTGTACCGATCATCACCAAGGAGCAGATGAGAAAATTTGTGTCAAAGCAGATCTTGTGCCACTTTGGAGTGCCCCAAAAAATCATCACTGACAATGGAACCCAATTTGAAGCTAAGGGATTCAATGACTTTTTGCAAAGTTGGGGTATAAAGCATAGCTATGCCGCAGTCGGGTACCCCCAAACCAATGGGCAGGTTGAGAACACCAATCGCACCATCATTGATGGTTTAAAGAAGAAGATAATGGAGTGCAAAGGTGCGTGGGTGGAACTATTACCCTACATTTTGTGGACCTACAGGACCACTTTGAGGAAAGCCACATGAGAGACATTGTTTGCCCTAACATATGGGTTTGAAGCAAGGGCTCCAGGCTCCAGCTAAAATCTCGTTGCTAAGTTATAGGGTGGAAACATTTGATGCACAGGAGAACAAGGAAAACTTGATGGCCAAATTGCACCTGATAGACGAACGAAGAGAAAAGGGCCTACATCCGGGCAGAAAATTATTGCCGTTAAGTTAAATTGTACCGTGATCAGAGGGTGCGACCAAGGGTTTTTAGGACGGGTGATTGGGTCCTAAGGAAGAGAGAAGTTAGCCGACTAACCGATGGTGGTAAGTCTGCAAAGAACTTTGAAGGGTCATATATCATAAAGGAAGTGTTGGCCGATGGAACATACAAATTGCAAACCCTAGCGGGAGGAGACGTCCCGCGGGTGTGGAATAGCGCTAATTTTATCAATTTTTACCAATAATTTGTACTCCTCCTATGATTTGCCTTTGAGCTAAAATGAAATCATTACTTTGCAACTTCTCGATTCTGTCTTCTCTCGAGTTTTCTAAATAAAAAAAAGAGCGACCAGAAGAGGTCGCCGCCCTAGACCATATGGTGATTCGCACTAAGTTGCCTTTTAGGGAGCAAAGTGTTGAACGCATTTGGTACCTGAAGGTCATTTGAAGTTAGTTAGTGCAACCAAACAAGTAGTGTTTTGCATTAGCAAGCGCAGAACATGATGGTCGCCTGAACGATCGGGAGCTAGCGTGACAAAGGACAAGACAATGCCGGGGCGAGAAAGCCCCAGAAAAGGCTAAGTCAAAAGAAGCAGCTGGTTTCCTCAACTGAAAGGTGAGGTGGCCCAAATGCTAAGGATGAGGCATAAAAGCTAAGTCTATGGAATAGAGTGGGACTTGTCAAAAACTCATTAGACAGGTAACACCAAAATTAACTCATGAAAAACATCCATTACACATAAAAAATCACTTCATACATTTGCATGTTCAATACATTGAGAACATTCTCATACATTCATAAGGAAAAATTTTATAACACCAAAGCATATACATGCAACTAAAACCGGAAAAGGAAGAAAAACACAAGGAAAAGGCGAGGTGAAGGGTAGTTCTGCAGCCATTGGGCATGCAGAACCCCAACCACTAGTTGCTGCAGACGCCCACCTTTCTTCTCCAACATGGAAAGGGGATGGGCGCCCTTTGCCTGCGACCAACACCCACCTTCCTTTTCCCGTGTAGAAGGAAGGGAGGTGTCACTCCCTCTGTGAGCCCCCCTCACCATCACTCCCCCGATGAGGATACAGACCCTAAAGTAGCAGGAGCTACTCCTTGTCACATAGGGACCGGCGGGGGGAGTGGGGGACCAACCAAGTGATGCTGGGAGGAATCCAGTTCTCCCCCCGCAACAGCAGCTTGGCTAGGTCGCTCCGGCGAGTTAGTGCGACTCTCGTTAGTCCACTACTCCAGACTTGTGTAGTATGCTAGTTTATGCCCCAAAAGGGGCAGGTGCTCATCTTCCACGCTCTTCCAAGCTGCGTAATGCCACTTATGGGTAGGGCAAGGAACGTCCCAATCCACCTCCTCGGAGGTTAGGTGGTTGGCTAAAAGTGCCCTGGACGCCGCGCTAAAGTCGTCATAAAGGTTTGGCAGAATGGGCGGCGGCTTCACCGACGGCCATTGCTGGCGGGGAAGACGGTAGCAAAACTCATAAGGATCTAGCCCTCCTCAGTCGTTGGAATTGACGGACTTAGGGGAAGAGGCAGATTCTGGTGGGGTAGGAGAAGGCCCGTCGGACAGATTCAAAGAAGTGGTAGTTTCTCCAGACATGGTGAAAGGTAAATGTAAAATGCTGGAGAAAGGGTTTGTGATGGAAGAAGCAAAGGGAGAAAGGGAAGTTTATAAAGAACCCAAGGTGGAGAAACCGAAGGGACGGTCAAGTCCCAAGGCAGCTGAATCGATAAAGTAACATTGATCAGCGTGATGGTCTAATCAACTGCCCTAAGTAATGCAATTGGTCAGTTGGGTGGCATGTCAACGAGCCATTAAGTCATGCTCGCTATGCAGGTGGGCCAGAGATAGGAGTTGGGCCCAATTTGGGAACTTACTCTCACCTCAGAATGGGCCAGACCAAGGAGGAATGTAACAATCCAAAACATATTGAGCTATAACAGCAGCAAAAAAAGGCAAAAACAATTATTAATGTGCAAGCATCACGCTCAAAGGACAAACATTCAAAGAGTCACAAGTTTTCAAAAGTCTTGAAAGAAAAATACAAGGAAAAGAGAAAGGTAGGGTCGATCACACACTCGAGCTGGTACCCTTGCCCGCTTTGGTTGCCGTAGAGCTTGCTCTCATCTCTTGGTCAGCCTTCCCATTCTGGTCGCCCTGCACAGTCATCTCTTCCTCTCCATTAGATGCATCCGAATTTTCCTCTTCCATGTAGGAGGAAGGATCGAACTCGGCGAAAGTGTCACAAAGAGGGGGAAAGCCAAAATCAGCAAGAGGAGTCCCTTTGGGGAGTAGAGCTAGCTTGCTACGGAAGACCTGTTGGGCCCAGAAGAGTCCACAGTGGAATGCCTTTTTTGCTTCCCTAACCATCCACTTGGTTTCGGGCTCGGTCTTGAGCCACTCAACGACCAGCTTGCTCATCCGCTCCATGGCGACCGTAGTGAACTTGGGGGAAGTCTTGAAGGGCTCGACTGCATCCTCCGTGCGACGAGCCTGGTCACCCTTCTCAGCTTCCATCTATTGGATTAAATCAACTTTCTCACCCTCCAGCTCGACCACCCGGGCAGAAACTGACCCCACTTCAGAGGACAACGAGGTCTTCTCTTCCTTTAGTTGAGCATAGTGACTCTTCTCTTCCCTCAGTTCCCTTGCGAGGCGAGTGACCTCACCTTGCAACTCCATATGCTTAGCTTCTGCAGCTTTCCTCACCTCATCTAGAGCAAATTGGTGATCTTGCTCTCGGCCGGCGAGCTCGATCATCCCCAACGTGGCCTGAACAGAAACACGAAGGATCAAGAATATATGGCGAAGGTATGGGACAGAGAAAGTAAGGGGACGGAAATGAAAAGGGGGCTAGGACGGATACCTCACTGAGCTTTAAAAGAACTATGTTGGTAAGGTCGTTGTTGGTGCTGGCCAAGACACGGGCCCGATCATGGGCAAGAAGTGTGACCAAAGTCTCTAGCTGGGCGTCCCCCAAACCCAGGGACAGAGGGGAGATTCTAAACCTCATCGAGCCACCCTTAGTCGCCACCTCGTAGGTCAGCGCTGGTGGAGAGGGAGGTTGCTCTCAGATAGCTCCGCGGGACGACCCAGCCGGGTCGCTTCCAAGAGCCATGGATCGCGGCGGGGAGTTGGTCGCCACCATCCCCGTCTCCGGGATCAATCCTCCAGCTCGATCACGACCTCATCAAGCTGGAAGCGATCCTCACGGCGCGAGGAGGAGCGCTTTCCTTTGCCCTGGTGGGCTGCTTCTCTCTTCCTCTTCTTTCCCCCAACAAGATGGCCAATCAAGCGGTCTCCCTCCATCTCTTCGTCTAGTCCCACTTGTTCAAATCAGAATGGGAGGAAACAGTTAGTACCAAAAAGGAAAAGGTTGAGACACCCAACTAAGGAGGGAAAGCGTTTACCAAAGGGACCATAGTCGGCGCTCCTCCCGGGGAGGTCCCTCAGCAGGTTGGGCTGGTGGCGATGTTCGTCCCTAACGAACTCAAACCCAAGCTTTGAGGGACTCCTCGGTCCTCGCCGACATGATCTCGACGGATCCCTTGCCACAGAGTTTTCTGGTGATGGACAAGAGGGTAGCGTTTGACTTGGGGGGCTGGACATGATGGAAGGATGGGTGCCCAGAACCTGTGAAAGAAGATTCGGGCCATGTGGAGACAAAGACAAAAAAGGGTTTCCAATCCTTGGTCGACCCCTTCTTGTCGCTAGTCAAAAGTTTGCTCGACCGTTGGAAAAGGCTGGCATAAGACGCCCAATCCCCATGGCCTCGGGCCAGCTTGAAGGTGAGAAGGAAATGGTCCAAGGTGGGTTCCACCCCGACTTCTTTACACTTAATTAGGTAACCGTCGATGTACCGGTGTGAATTTGGGACTAGTTGACAAGGGAGGAAATCCACTTCGTTGAGGAACTCTACAAACAGAGAGTGCAGAGGGAACTGTAGACCCTTCTTCAAAGAAGCCAAGTGAAGAGTAAAAAACCCTGGAGGGGCATCCAAGGTGGTCTGGGTCCTGCTGGGCTGCCGGACTTCAATAGAGGGGCCAACCATGTCAGTGGCGTCGGCAAACCCTTGGTCGGTAACTTGGCAATAGAATAGAGCCATGATATTCTCCCCCAACTCAACCCTAGAGCCCTTTAGTGCAGGGGTCGAGGAGGGAAATTGCTTTTTTAGCCGGCGTAGCTTTTGGCCGGGCACCGACGACGACGACGGCTGAGGAGAATTAGTTTAGCCTTGATCTTGGCTAGAGGGGGCCAATTGATCGGCCTGATGAGGCTTGGACAGTAGAGAAGCCGAGTCTGAATTAGAAATAATCATGATGGCAGAGGGAGTACTGACCTGAAGATTGAGAAAAATGGGTCGGGTTGCAGCGAAAGAACAAGCAAAGGAATTGTTAGAATAAAAGACCAACGCTAGAGGGGGGGGTGAATAGCGTTTGATCGTAGAAATTGCAGGAATTGAAAACTTAAAATAGAAGTAAAGAGAAGAGTAAGAGGCACACCGAATTTTACCCTGGTTCACCACAACTTGTGGCTAATCCAGCCTCCCGAGAGACTCTCTCGAGCTACACTACTAGCTCGTTAAGCTTGCGGGTGCTTAACAAACCGTTACAACTTGAGAGTTCGAGTTACACGAACCTCAACGAGTCCTTCAAAGGAAACAACCCTTCCTTTGAATCTACTGAGAGAAATACTTTCTCTCAAAGTGTCTAAGAACACGAATACATTTAAGAACTAGGCTCTCTTATAGAGTAGATTATGAGTAAACTAAGTACGCTCAAGAACAACTCAAACTTCACAAATTGGCTCTTGAAAGCTATGAAAAATGATGTTGTTTTAATGCAATGATGATATGAATATTGTGAAGTGAATTGATGTGTAAAGCAGACCCAAACACCCCTTTTTATAGTGCCAAAAAAGGCTCCAATGGACCAATACATTTAAGGGGTGATTGGCTTGATTTATGGGATTGAAAAGATTTGGGATCTGCAGGATATTGGCTTCCCATCGATGTTAGGGACTTACCCATCGCTGGTAAGCCAATTTTCCTTCAGTTTTGAAGCCAACGGTTACCTACCCATCGATGGGTACAAGCTTCCCATCGCTGGGTTGGAGGTTGACTTCCAAACAAGGAAAGAATCAACCTTAAATGACTTCCAACGGTCATGCCTTCCCATCGATGGTTTAGCCTTCCCATCGCTGGGTTCCCATCGATGGGTAAAGCTTCCCATCGCTGGGTAAGGGCATTCTGCCTTGTGATAATGTTGGACCAAGGCTTGAACAGCGATGGGTAGAGCTTCCCATCGCTTTTTGGCATGGTTCTGGAAGTTGGTTTGGCTAAGGGGCTACTTACCCATCGATGGGATGTTCTTCCCATCGCTGGGTGGGTGGTTAGCCAAAAACCTATGGTTTTTGCCTTAACCACGGCCTAGCCAAACGATGCAAAAACCGACCGAAATTTGATGTATTTGATGTATTTGGCTAAGAAACCAAGTGTTTTTGCCTTAACCACGGCTTAGCCAAACCAAGTGTTTAAAACACTTATTTGATGTATTTGGATAAGAAATCAAGTGAGACACTTTAAAAATCACGTCATTTGAGTAAAAACCACGGCTAGCCAAGTTTACGCCGTTTTGCGTGGTTTTTGTCAAACGACTAAAAACGAGAGATGGTTTTCAAAGTGTTTTTGTTGGAGAACCGTTTAAACATGCCAAAGAGTGAAAGCAGATCATAAAATGCTGAAAACCACTTGCTTGGTTCAAATGCCAAAAACCAAACCCGACAACCGAAAGCCGAACGCTGGTTTCTTAAAGCCGAACACTGGATGGCTTGGTTTTTGGTTTGGGCGAACACCAAGTGTTTTTAATGACTTAAACAAGTTTGAAAAACATTTTTATGATGTAAGAAATGCAATGAGAGATTTTAGCCTAAAGAGCCAAGGTGTAAAGATTGGGTCGGTCTTGATCACAATAAAGACCGACTCAATACTATGATTAAGGTCTTCGTTCTTGGTCTTCGTTTAGCTCTT